TGATAAAAAAGGAATTGTAAGATTATTAGTATTATTTAGTTGTTAAATTATGTTGTTAAGTTATATAGGTATAGGTGTTTGATTTCATAATAAGGCTTTAATTTATCAAATTATATTTTTTAGCTTTTTAAGACTATGATGTAAAAAGGAAGCTTTGGCATAGTATATATGTTGAAAGTTACACATTGTGACTTTTTTGTTAGGAATATGTTTGAGAGCAGCTGAGAAAACACTGGTTTGAATTTTGTGTCATGTTGTTTTCAAGAATTCTGTTGTATTAACAGTTGTAAATATATAGTTAGAACTAAGATTAGTAGCTACTTGGTCAGTATATAATTGCCAAAGCTCTTCATTTATTTTTTTGTAGAAAAATGTTTTTTTTCAAGTTTTGGTTGCAGAACATCATTTGCCAGAATAAGCATAGAGAAAGAACTAAGAGGAAATTAGAATTTTATAATCATTATTTGTGCTAGTTTTAGAGTCATCAGTATTGTATGAGGTAAGATAGCAGATAATTGAATGGTTTGCTCAGATGTAATCAATTCGACTTTGGAATTGCTTGCTTTGCCAAGTATTGGATAGTGATTAAATATAGGCAACTAGGTCATACATGTTGTTATATTGAAGAAAATGCAGTAATTTGTATTTTATAAAAGAGGAATGTAAACTATTATTAGGAATGTTAAAGTCTTCCAGAATAATAGGTTGTAAGTTTGAACTTGTGGCTTGTTGAAGTCATGAGATAACAGTATTTTGAACAGTTAGTCTGAATTGGATATCGTCACAAGGTAGATATACTGATATAATGTGGAATTTGAAGTCATGTTTAAAGAAAAGATCAATGACAATAGCATAACCAAAAAGGTTGTGTATTTTGTGAATGTGTGGTTTAAGCCAATTATTGATCATAATTGCAGTACCAGCTTTTGGGCTGTTGCTGTATGACCAGTAATATGTAAAATGTTTAGATTTTTGCAGTTTTGTTATTGCATTTGTGTTAGTTATTTTGGTTTCAGTAATGCTAACTATATTAAGGTTGTTTTTTAGACAGAAGTTTTTTCACATTTGTTGTTTAAAGTCTTCATTATAGTCTCAAACATTGTAGATACTGATTGATAGCTCAAAGAATAGATTGTAAATTTTTATTTATTAAGTTGGAGGGCTGAGATGTGATTGTATATCCAGGAGAGAATATGTTATTTGTGTTTATGGCTTTGAAGTATATAGGAGTTTTGCATTTGCTTTGTGATTTGAATTTAGTATTAGTAGATGTATAATCAACAGTTTGAGAATTAGATTGAGATTTAAGAGGTATATTGAGAAAATTGTTAGTAGAAGAAATGTAATGGTTTGGTAGAATAGTAAGCTCATGTGATAAATAAATATGAGCTTCTGTTTTGTCTGTTTTTAGTGTTATCATTAAAGAATTTAATAAGTGTGTAGAGTTGATTTGTTATAAATATTGAAAGAAAGTTTTTATAGTAGATTGAAGATGTAGTAAAGGAAGATGATAATATTGGAGAAATTTGTTATAGCAGGTGTTCAAATCATAGAAGTTTGATGATGTTGATAATGATTTAGGTTGTGTATCTTCTGTAGGGTCGCTTGCCATTTTAAGCTCAGTTTTCACAGCTGTGAAGAGTGCCATAGCCTGCAAAAATAAAAATTTATAATATTATAATTTTTAATTTATTTATATTAAATTATAAACAAAATATTTTAATATATTTTTCTTAAAAATTTATTTGTAAACAGATGTTATATATGATTATATGAGCTTATCAGAAGTATATGAAACTGTTTTTTTTACTATCTAATCACATTACTAAAACTTTATCACTAATATTTTAAATATTAGCTAAATTATTAAAAAGAATACATTCAATTATTTTAATATATTTTTCTTAAAAAATTTATTTGTAAACAGATGTTATATATGATTATGTGAGCTTATCAAAAGTATATAAAAGTATTTTTTTACTATTTAACTATATTGCTAAACTTTATTACTAATATTTTAAATATTAACTAAATTATTAAAAAGAATACATTTAATTATATTATAATAAAATGTAGTTTTAAATTAAAATTCCTTAATGCACTGTTGATATTCTTATTTTTATTTATTCATCTTTGCATTGTCTTTTATAATTGCATCAAGTATAAGATATATTATATTATTTGCAATTTGCAAATATTGCATATTTATAATCTTTTTATAACCAAATTTATCAAATACTAACATATACTCATTTGTGATTATATTTTAAGTTAATCTATAAGTATTTAGATCCTCTAATTAACTTAATTAATTCATTAATTACTATATTAAATTTATTTATTATAGTATATTAATATACAAATTAAGCATATAGATTATAAACTACATATTTGATTTGATATTTGATCTGATATTTGATATAATAAAATAATATAAAACTACTATATTTGGTTTGTTTTTAGTTTCTAGTATAATTGCATTATATAATTACTTTATGTTAAAATTTTTTAAAAACTAAAATACTATTTATGCTAACTTATATAATAAAAGATAAAAAAGTATAAAAACATCTGCAAATGTTATATTTAACAGATTTAAAATATTTTCCTGTATAGCAACTTATAATGCTAATAATATTAACTGTAAACTAGTTTATAATTGGTTTTAAAATTTATTATAAACTAGTTTACAGTTGATACCATCAGTATTGTGAATTATTTTAAACCTGTTACTATATAGTTTTGAAATTATGCATCTTTTTTTGCATATAGTACAGACAAAATTGTTATAATGCAAACCAAATTATGCATAGTGCAAGCCAGAAATGCTTATTTTCAAAAGGTGCTTAATTTTAGAACTATATGATAAATATAAGATTTGCAGATGTTCTTATATTTCTGCCTTTTATTATATAAATTAATATAAATAGCATTTGATTTTTAAAAGGTTCTAATATAAAGTAACTACATAATGTAATCATGCTAGAAACCAGGAACAAAAAAAAATATAGTAGTTTTATATTATTTTATTATATCAGATATTAAATTAAACATCATATCAGACATGTAGTTTATTAATCTATATATTTAATTTATATGTTAATATACTATTATAAATAAATTTAATATAGTAATTAATGAGTTAATTAAATTAATTAGAGGATATAAGTACTTATAAATTAACTTAAAATACAATTGCAAATGAGTATATATTGGTATTTGATGAATTTAGTTATAAAAGAGATTATAAATATGAAACATGTGCAAATTGCAAGCAATATAACATATCTTACACTTGATATAATTATCAGAAGACAATGCAAAAATAAACAAGTAAAAATAAGAATATCAACAAGTGTATTAAGGAATTTTAACTTAAAGTTACATCTTATTATAGTGTAATCAAAAGTATTTCTTTTAATAGTTTAGCTAATATTTAAAATATTAGTGATAAAGTTTGAACAATGTGGTTAAATAGTAAAAGAACAGGTTCATATACTTCTGGTAAGCTTACACTATCATATATAACATCAGTTCACAAATAAATTTTTTAAGAAAAATATATTAAAATTTTTTTATTTATAATTTAATATAAATAAATTATAAACTATTAACCTTATGAATTTTTGTTTCAAATTAACAAGTTTAAAAGTTACATGGAATTCAGATCAGTGAGCAATAGTATAATAAAAAACATTTATTAGAACCAGGCATCAGAAATAGTAAACTACTTCCATAAGGAACATAAAAATTTTTATTATAAGAACTGTCATTTCATTATACAAAAGTTAACTGTACATATGCTATTATTTATATGCCGACAAAAAATAAAGATGGCTCATATTTAGAAATACAAGAAAACAACATATTCACGCTATAATGAAATTCCCACTACACTTATAGGCTCAGAATGCTAGACTCGAAAATATTATATAATTAATTATATTATATCAAGAGTTTATTCTGACAAATTAAAATGAAGCCATAAAAGGTTATAAGTTCTAAAAGTATACTCATGAGTTAAATAATGATAAGAACCAGTACCAAATACAACTCACCTTATTTATTTATGTTAATTTGGTTCATAATTGAAAGTTTACTATAACAGATTTATGAACTTTGAAATTTTAAATTTAGGTAATCGAGATTGTAACATGCAGATTTTGTATACTTAATAATTCAATATCATTTGAACAATTTAATTCACATTTACCACTTTAAAACTGATTAAGATTATTATTTATTAATCAAATTTATCTTTAGAATCAGGTCAATCGAATAATTGATTGTGAAGGTAATTAATTGCAACTATTCAAAACCCAATTAATCGATTAGTGGTAAAGTCATTTAATTACAATTTCTGAAGTTGTTTGAAAAATGTAACGACTTGATAAAATATGTGATAATAAACATAAATATGGGGTTTTGAAGATATTTGACATCAAATAGGTTTTGAATTAAATTGTACAAATCACGAGAACATTAATTTACATTCCTTTATAAAGACATGTATATAGTACAGCATTCTAAATCTTTTTTCTTAAATCGGTTTCAATGAATGCCAAAGTTCTAAACAAATGTTACATAAATGCTTTTTCAGACCTTCAAATGATGACAGACATTAGTATAATTTATGTTCTTCCGATCATAATCGGTAGCGTTCTTCCAGATCATAGCCGATATCAGAAAGATGCTTTTTTTATACCTTCAAATGATGGCGGGTATTAATGCAATTCATGTTCTTTCAGATCACACCCGATAATCAAAAAGATAATGCTCTTTTTAGACCTCCAAATGATGATAATCATCAGCATAACTTACTTTCTTTCAACTTTTGTCAATCACTAAATAATTATGAAAATTTTATTAGTGTTTTGTCAACAATACTAGATAGTTTGATTTGGCTCTAAGCTGAATCAAGCTGACTCGGATAACTTGACTCAAAAGCCAGCTCAAGCTGGCTTAAATTTAAGCAATTCCTATCCTTACATTTGTGAACGTCAAACATCACAAACAACAAAATTAGCCTAAAATCGAAATAATTTTTTCAATATATCTAAGTTAATAATTTTAATCATCAAAATTCTTTAAAATATAATTTAATCTTACACCGCTTTGAACACGTTGATTAAATTCCTTCCAAGTAAATGTTGGCAATTTGCTAAAATCCTCAATGAAAATACGAGGATGGATCATAGATTTTTTCTTATTTATATTCTCATCTTCGGAATAAAATAGTTTAAAACTGAAATCATATTTCTATTGGAGTTCGCAAAGTATGAAACAAGCGATTACTATAAATATCCAAACCAAAGGCTATTTTTCTCCATGTCATATCACTATTAAATAATAAGAATAAGAAAAAAAATATAAAACTATATGAGAAAAAGTATTCGGAAACAAATTTTACTTTTACTATAAAGCAATAAAAATATTGAGAATTCTTTTGATCATTTCACTTGTTCACTAATTATCGTGGCGAATTAAAATGAAATGAAATTTTGTATAGTGTAAAATCGACAAATCACCAAAAAAGTGCAAAATTTTAGGTCTGATTTAGAGTAGAATTTATAGTAAACAAGTATAAATAGGTTTTAGCAGGCCTACCGAATAATTGATTGTGAGGGCAATTAATTGCAATTTTTTGAACTCAATTAATTGATTGGTGGCGCAGTAACAATGAGTCAATTAATTGCAATTTTTGTGTGATGAATTATTTGCGTGACGAATAAGAGTTCACTAATATGTTTAATTAGTAAATCCTTATTTGTCACATATAATGATTCATCGCAACCATGTGATAAATGGCATTAATTGATTTTAATTGTATGACGTATAACAAAAATTAATTTTAATTAATTTTTCGGTAGGCCTGGGTTTTAGTAAGTTAAATAGAAACCTGATTTCATTTAAATTCGAATTCACTATGATCTGTGACAATTATTACTAAAACATTAGGTCAGAAGATTTTATAACTTTTAAATTCTAATTCTGCTAATAAAGAGGCTGCCAAAGTCATAATAGACCGATTAATAGCAGTTAAAAAACAAGCCATACTTCTTTTTTAATTTCATATTTGGTTCACTGAAATTAATTTGCGTGCAATTGTAAAAGACTTTCACTTTTTTGTACGTATTTATGTTTACATCTAGCTATACAGAAGATGTATACTTACAACTTGTAATAGCATCCAAAAATGAGAAATTAATATACACAGTAGAAAATAAGTAAATCGAATCATATTTACATTAATTAATTAAATAAATAGAATAATAAATATAAGTAACAAATAATATGAATATATTATAATGGTATGTTTGATGGCTTATTCAATAAAATACATTATAATCAAAAAAAAACAAAATTGGCCAAATATTCTTATTAAACAGCTTGACAATTACTATGCTAATAATACCAGTATAACCCAGAAATTTGATTATAAATCTTGGGTAACCCTAATATGAATAGTAATTTAATAAGTTAATGCATAACAATAAATATATACATACTAAAATACCTTGTTAATTGACACTAATGCGGTTTGTCCCAACGTAATCAATAGACCGAAGCCTAGTAAAAACAATAAAATCAACCATAAATGCAAATATATTATTTACGAATATAATAGAATTAATGTAATACCTATTAGAACAAGTGACAAACTAAAAACTGTTAAAAGCAACCCTAAATATGCAAATGGTACAGTATTTGATTTAATATATAATTTTTAAATTAGAGGAAAATTAAAACAAACCAAAAAAAAATGCAGAATAAAATACCAATAGAATTCCTTGGTTTTTTTTATATAAGTTGCAATGGCTAGAAATCCAAAAGACGAGATAGAAATACCGCCTTTGAAACCTACTTTGTAATAACGAACAATGCAAATTGATAGCAGAAATAGAATGCTACAAAATATTAAATATACTGTATTAACATTGTATATTATAATTTTGACATTAAATTTTATTACCACCAAGTAACAAACATTCCACAAGCATGGGCGATTAGAACAACCTGCACATGATCCGCCAAGTCGGTGCCGCACTCGCTACAGTTGTTATATCATTGAATCGTTCTTTGATATCATAATACCAGAAAATTTTCCTGGAATACGGATATGATTATTATTTCGATTAAACTTTATAATAATATGATAATCATGCTTAACGAAATCTAACCAAGTCAAGTTGATAATGAATGAAATACCAGTTTTTTGGACTTCACAGCATATGAACTATCGCTATTTATATCAAATAGTAAGAAGCTTAAATTTTAAATAAAAAGTAAATGAATAATGTAAGGACGAGTTTATAAATTATTAAAATAATTCAATTGACAACACTAGAAATAAGGGGATCGTTATTATCCGCGAGTCTAAAAGGAATATGGGTTGAGTTCTAAACTTCGTAATTTGGCTAAAGTGGTAAATAAATAATATTATTAAAGTACATATATATAGCATTAAAGCGTTATATGATGCAAATTTCCACCAGTTCGCCGTCCGATGACTAAACGAAACTTAGTGGCCTACCTTTACAAGCAGAAAGTTCACCGTCAGATGACTAAATGAGGTCTTTCTG